AATGGACTCCAAATGACTAATTATTCGGCCATACTTCTCATACTCAGCCCTGGCAGTTGCAAGTTGTTCCCCTACTAACGTTTCTCCACCCTATCCTTGTTCACCTTGTGAGAAGGTGGCTACATTTGCATTTCCCCCCTTTCCAGTTTCAAACCTTTTTCCACCATTTTCTGTTTTAGTCTAGCAAGAATGAGTTCTGGATGCAACTTCCAACAGGTGTCTTTGGTGTGTTTAGGCTTCTTGCAGTATTCACAGATAACATATTTCTTCCTAGTGTTAACCTTTGGCTTTATCTCGGCATTGGCATAGTGATCAACCTGTGGCTTGACAGACTGAACTTGTCTTCTGCTTTCCTCACTGCTCACCATAGCATATGCCTGAGATAGCCACCTAATCCTATGCTAAAACATCCTACCTCACAATATCATACTTCAAGTTGAGTCTAGTGAGGAATTCAAAGACCTAATTCCTCTCTACCAACTTCCTATATATTTTCTACATCCTTTGTGCAACCCCAAACAATAGTTTTCATCAAGTCGATCTCTTGCCAAAGAGATTTCAGCATAGAGAAATAGATGACTAAGGGCTTCTCCCCTATCTTAGATTATTCACATCATGCTTCAATTTGTAGGCCTGAACAACATTAAGCTTTTGGGAATAGGTCTCCGTAACGCCATCCCACACTTCTTGCTGTTTCCATCCATAGGTAATGTTGACTAATGTGTGGTTGTATAAAATTCACTAACCAATCCACTACTGTGTAGTTTTCTTGCATCCACCTTTCATAGGTAGGATCATCCTCCTTCGGTTTCTTCTTACTCCCAGTAATGTAACCCCATTTTACTCTATTATACACATGTATTTTAATAGATTGAGACCGGGCTTGGTCCCGTCTAACTTCACAGTAGTCACAGCCCCAAAAAGATTCTCCACTGACCCCCCATGTCCAAATCTGGAATCTGTGGAATATTTAGTCTCTCCTCCAGTTTGCTCCTTACAAATGAAAACGAAAATCAAATTAGGGTTTTAATAGGCTAGATTTACTGTTCTAAGCAAAGAATAGCCCTTCAACCACCCAAAAATAGGGTTTCACAGAACCCAACAAAATGGGGAGAAAGAGAGAAACTTTAGCCACTCCTCCTAGAGGTTCCAAAACTTAGTCCAACCAAAACCACCCTTAATAGAAATCACAAGGCTTACCTCTGATTCCTAAGCGCCTGGTTCAAACTGTCTCTACGACTTGTAACAAGATTTCTTCAGTTATCTAGGGTTTTCAAGAAAAAACTCCAAGAACCTTCCTTGGGCTTCAACGAAGGATAAAAACCTCCACAAAAACTTTCCAAAAACCCTCCTAACTAGGCTACATAAGTTGCTGATTGATCAACCGATCAGTTCTCCATACACACTGTGTATGGGCAAGAAAAAGAAAAGAGGTTGAAAGTGGGAACCTGCTCTGATACCAAGTTGTGAAATACACTTGCAATAATTCAGAAAAGATAGAAAAAAGAAGAAAGAGGAAGGAGATAAGAGAAGGAAGAGGTTTCAGCAGTAGGCTGTTGAAGAAGAAGAGAAGGGAAGAGAGAAAAGAAGAGTTCGATCTCCTCTCTCTAGCCCCCTTGATTACCTTATATTAACTTAATTCTAAAATTAAGTACAATTACATGGATGCCCTTAATGGGGCGGCCAGCACTAAAAAGATAATTAAAGAAAACAAACAAGGGCCTATAACTAAGGCCCATAACCTCCAAGCATAACTTTAAACACTACTTAAAATAAATAAGGAACACTAAGGCCCATTCAGCCCATTCTCACTACACCTACTTTGCAGTCTTTCCATGTGAAACAGGTAGGAGTAGTATTCTCCCTCCAATAATCGGTGCTTTTTGTTGGGAAATTTAATACACTTGATATGCTTCAAAAAAGGAGGCCTAACTGTTGGTTGTCTCCTAATTGGTGTATTGTGTGTAGAGCAAATGGTTAGGCTTGCTATCATCTACCTATGCATTGTCTATTCATTGGTTGTATTTGGGAATGGTTTCTTTCTATATTTGGGTGCAATTGGAATCTCCCTTTTTTGATAAGCAAATAAATCCTTTTATTAAATTAGAAATATTAGTACATACAAGCAGCCCTTGGAGAGGTGTGAATTGCGATCTCTCCACTAAAGAAGAAAACAAAAACCAATAATTACAATTGTGCCCTGTACAAAAGTTCCCTAGCTGCCCCTTGCTTGGCTAGACAATCTGCCATAGTATTTGCTGATCTCCTCACCCGTTGTATTCTTAGATACATGTTTCTTGTCGGCATCTTAAACTTCTTAGTTTCATTCTTGAAGCACCAAATTACTGACTCTGGGCTCTGCAACCAGCTTATTACTACCTTGGAATCACCTTCAACCATTAGCTGTCCACCCCTAATTGAGCTGCAAACTGTACACCTTGCAGGTCTGCAAGTAATTCTGCTCTAATAGTCTCCCACTCCTAGAGGACCTGAGAAGAAAAGTATCACATTTCCAACTCCATTCCTCAAAACCCCACCCAAGCCAGAGGGGCCTTGGTTTCCTTGACTGCTTCCATCAGAATTCAGCTTCTTTTTTTGATAAGACCATCAAAATTCAGCTTCAAGAAACCTGCAGGAGGTGATGACCAGCTTGTTCTTACTCTAGTCTTGGAGGATGAACAACTTGCCACTGCTGCCCAATTCCTCCAGATATCATTAAAGGAGAATTGGTGGAACAAGTTCAAAGATTTCAGCCAATGGATAACCCTATACACGACACAGTCCTTAATCTCTTGATGGTTCCTTTCCTTCTGGAAAATTCTAGCATTCCTTTCTTCCCAAATTGTCCAAACCAATGCAGCTCTTGCACACCTCCACATAGTTTTACCTCTTTTCTGCTGCCATACAAATGTAGTAGGATCAAAAAGCAATCTTAATTCTGCTAGCAAATTCCACCTGCTCACAAACAAAGATAGGAGCCAATCCCATAACTCTGCCATAAAAGAACAACAAATCAGTAAATGGTAACAGTCCTCACTCTGAGATCTGCAAAGGATGTACCAATTAGGAGAAATACGAAGGAAAGGTCTTCTCTTTTGTAAATTGTCCAAGGTGTTTACTTTCCCATGGTAAACTTCCCAATAAAAAGCCATAACCTTAGGGGGAATACAGTTGGAATCTTTCTTCAGCATGAATAATCTCTTTTGTTCATCAGCTTTCATGTGGCCTAAGAAATGGGGAAGAATTATGTGGAGATGCACTAGAGTGGCACTCATTTGGACCATATGGGAAGAAAGGAATATAAGAGTCTTTAAGGAACAGGAGAGAACTAATGAGGCAATTATTAAATGTATAACCGTTAGGGTGGCTCACTGAATCAAATATCTGGCTACTTTTTCAAGCTTCTCAATAWACAACATAATAAGAAAATGAGGGGAAGTAGCATGAACATTTAGAAAAAATAATGCAACTCACAGAAGATGGGTGGTGCCAACAAGGGGATTCATAAAACTTAATTTTGACCGCAGTAGCATGCGGAATCCAGGACCTTCAAGAGTTGGGGGTGTTTTTAGGAACAGAGGGGGTCACATCATTGCATTGTTTTTGGGTTCAATTGGAATAGGGGACTCATTAAGAGCAGAACTAATGGCAATGCTACAGGGTATGCAGTGGGCAAAAGAAATGCGATTAAAAAATTAATCATAGAAGGTGACTCAAGGTTGTGATTAGTTGGCCAGTCAATAATGAGACAATAATATTATGGATTTACCGAAATGGAATCAAGAAATTTAGATGGCTGAAAAGAAATATGCAAGTACCAATTCAATGGGTACAAGGATCATTGAATGGCATGGCTAGTTCTTTAGCAAAACAAGGAGTGGGTTGGGGAATGTTTTTCTGTGCATAGTTGTAAGAAATGTAGAGGGAGTGATGGTTTTTACTTTTCCCTCTGAATGTTGATTGTAAAATCTGTACATAACTAATATTTATAGTTAATAAAATTGATGCTTATATATAAAAAAGTGGTCTCTCTTCCCTCCCTTGGTTTCCATAGGAAAAATCTCATAACCTTTTCTATTTTCTTTTTCACTGCCTATGGGATTTTAAAAACTTACAGGTAAGGGTGATTCTATCTCCTAAAGAGACAGTTTCTCTTCCACACAGGCCACAGCCAGTCTCTTTGAAAACCTCTCTAATAGAGGTTTTTTTCGATAAGTAAAAAGAAATTTATTAGAGCATTATTATTTTTTAAATCTCGCTAATAGAGAGTTCCATAAACTATTTTCTTTTGGCTTAGCTCCAAGAAGGAGAACAAGGTAATTCATTGGCCAGGCTAGGGATTGATTGAACAACCCAGAAATTACACATAGAATGTAATTTGACCCTCTTCCAAATTTATCCCAACTAAGCAACTTGTATCCGAGTTTATCCTCAAATTGGAAATTTTCTCAAAAAGCTCCACTACCAACCTTATTTTACCCACTGGTCTACTCCTCCCTCACAAAATAGTATGATGCCATTAGCAAATTGAAGGCGTGTAACCACTAACCATTGCTCAAAAGTCAGAATTGTTGTCTTTGAGAGGAACTGGGATTACATCTTCAAGGATTGGTATCTTGCATCATTTTTTGTGATGGATGTTTAAGCATCTTCTCTTTTGTACTTGTAGACTTGTAGTTTTGCATTTTTCTCATGTAAATAAATAAGTTCCATTGCTTATCGATATATCCAAAAAAAAAAAGAAAAAGCTTCTCTAAGTTTTGTGTTTTTCATACTTGTCTTGTAAGTTATCATTAGAAATGTCAATCAGCTAAATATGCGGTACTATTACTTCTTCTCTTAATACAGTTATTACTATACAAAATACTATTAATCTTCTTTTCTTAATACATTTGTTACTATACAAAATACCATTAATCTAATTTCTGCTGATAGGGCATTCATATACATTGTAGTGTTTAATACTTAAATTAGTTTTTCTTTGTCTGACCCAATTGCAGATTGTATCTAAGAGTCTATCTGAACCAATTCGTTCCCACAAGGACCTAGATAAAGATTCGGCTCCCTATTACCACAAGGCTGTAAAGTTCTACGATGGATTATCAAAGCAGCTTATAAATCAAGGTCACGTTCTGGATTTGTTTGCTTGTGCTCTTGACCAGGTATTTATTTCTCTGGATCTTTTATTAGTATGTTCGACAATGGTGAGATGGTGATGATATGTGTGTGTCTATGTTATGTTACCCGGATATCACTAGATACAGTATTGGATATGAAATTTACACTAAAAATTGATGTATCCGACACAATATGGTGCCCTTGTACAGGTTGTGTGTGCAATAAATTTACATGCACTACTATATTTTACCATTGTTTGCATATTTTTTGTCAGAATAGATTTACATGGTTAAAATCTCTTGTACAAATCTGTCTTTATCTAAAGCAAGTGGGGAACCTACATGATTTAGAATTTTTTTTTGCTGATAGCTCAATGCTCATAAGCTCCTTTATTGCTTCTGAATCTCAATTCACTTTTATGGTTTGCAAGATGTATTGTTTTCTTTCCTCTCTTCCTGTTCTTTTGGTGACATGCAAGCTCTGGAACATGTTAGACTCTTCAAACATCAAGATGGTCTCTATAGATGCAACTAGGGTTTTTTTAGCAGAGATTTTATTCGATGACAGAACTATATTCCCAATTTAAACTTTTAAGAATGTATGATAACTCCAGAATTATAGATGATATTGCTTGTATTTAGACCAACATAAAAAATTAAGAATGATGTGTAATAGAAAAACTGGAACTACTTTTGGATATTTTGGTCCATGTTGGACATTATCCTTGGTGATGTTTGAATTATTATCTCTTGTTATTTGTTGAAGCTTGTTGTTTCTCTTCTTCTGTAAAGTGATACCATGGTAGTTTTTTCTTTCCTATTGTTTGTGTTTGCTTGGTTTGTGCATTGGCTAATTGAGGTTGCATCTGGCTATACTTATTCCTGAAGCTCCACCCTGCTTTGTCTTGCTTTGTTGTTGCCATTTTAGGTTAATATTATCAATCAACCCCCCTCCCCACCAAATGGAACTTCTTAGACATTTTCTTGGCAAGGGCCTCAGTTGCTTCTCCTTGGAAATCCATTCACAATCTGCTTTTAGTTTTTTCCCCTTGGATCAGGTATGGTCTAAACTCTGGTAACCGAATAAAATTCTAGGAACAACTTTGGGTCAGGGATTCTCCTCCGAAGGACCAGTTCCTTCCTTGTATGCTCTATTAGACTTGAAAAATGAACACRTATCTTCTTTCTTGGTCCCTTCAGCCTCCACTTCTGGCTTTGGGTGGAACCTAGGCCTGTGTAGGGCAATTAGGGATACAGACATGGATAGCTTGGTAACTTTGCTCGCCTCCCTTGAGATTGTCTTCCTAAACCCTGCTAAGGAAGGCACCAGATTTTGGACCCCTTCTAGCTCTGGTACCTTTTCTTGTGCTTCGTTCTTTGAAACCTTAACTCAGCCTCCTATCCCCTTTGGGTTGTCCTTTCCGGTTAAGGAAATTTGGAGCAGGCTTATTCCTCCTCGGGTTGTTTTTTTTTTTTTTTTGTTGGGAAATTTTCCTAGAAAGAATCAACACTTTAGACTTACTTCAGAAAAATAGACCCAACTATTGTCTACTTCCTAATAGATGTGCTCTTTGTAAAGCTGATGGGGAATCTGGCTACCACCTCATGGTCTCTTGTAAGGTTGCTAAAACTATATGAGAGTGGGTTTTCTCCTGCTTCGGGTGTTCTTGGTATCATCCGGAGACTGTCCAAGGTTTGTTTTCTCCTTTTTTCAGTTGGCCTAAGAAGCGAGGGAAGAGTATGTGGAGGTGTATTAGGGCAGTAGTATGCTGGTCATTGTGGGAAGAAAGAAACTCACATACTTTTTCCGACAAGGAAAGAACATTGGAAGAATTGTTAGATCGAATCCTTTTAAGGGCTGTCCACTGGCTAAAATCTTTGGAGTTATTTTTAGATTTTCCTGTGGATGACTTGCTAAGAAACTGGAAAGAGATTGCTTCCATTGCTAGATGCAAGAGGACTCTTTGTCCRTTTTGGTSYCCTCCCCCCTCGGGCTTTATAAAGCTGAATTTTGATGGCAGTAGTGTAAGGAATCCAGGGCCCTCTGGGATTGGAGGAGTTGTCAGGAACGAGGAAGGGATTGTTATTGCTTTATTCTCTGGCCCTATTGGAGAAGGTGGCTCTCTTAGGGCTGAGATCCTTGCAGCGCTCGAAGGAATTCGAAGAGCAAAGGAATTAAATATCAGCCGTTTGATCCTGGAAGGTGATTCGAAGGTGGTGGTTAGTTGGTTGAAGACAGAGGACAGTGGTTTGTGGAACTTTAACAATGAAAAAAAAACAGTTCTTATGGCTGGGTAGGGACATTGAGATTCAGTACAGCTGGGTGAAGAGGAGTGCCATCTCATTTGCAGATGGGTTGGCCAAGCAAAGAGTGAATAGTGAGTCTGTATTTTGGGCTAGTTTTTAATCTTCTCTTTGCACTCCCTTTGTTTTCTGTTTTTGGGGAGCTAAGATATTTTATCTCCCCTCTTGTATTCATATTCCCTCTTTTCTTTTAATTTAATGAAGCTGGTGTTATTGATCAAAAAAAAAATTCAAATAATGTTTTAATGTTAGTTTCATATCTAGATTGTACAGTTGTCTGTACATTCTTGGATTTCCTTACAAAGTGGCCACATTGTACACAAGGAATGTTTTTTTATTGGTGACACAACTTTTTTGATGTTAATAATGAGAGATATGCACACAACTGCTATGCAGCAAACCCATAGTCTTGCCAAAGCCACCAGACCATACACCCTTAACTATTTACTACAACATCGGATTATAGTAGTTCCCTGGCCCCTAGATGAGATTTCAGAATACCCTCCAGAACATTTGAATTTTTTTTACCCCATATTTTGCCAGCATATCAACAAAGTCATTTTCTGATCTCTATGTCCACTGAAACAGTGATGCTCAGCCCTCTCATCATTGCTTTGATCTCCCTTAATGYGCTTCTGTAATGCCATGTTCCCAAAGTGTTGTTCTTCAACTATCCCACCACCACCTTTTAGTCCCCTTCTATTATTTGATTTGTGATGTTAACTTGTTAAGTAGTTTTCCCAGTCTTATTCCATGTAAGACTGCCAGCAGTCCTGCTCTTTTGGATGTGGAGTTGCCAATACCTATAGGGCTCAAGAACAATGGCTTTGATACATCCTTTCCAGTCCCTATTATTCAGGTCCAAGATGATGTCAAACCCTTTTTTTTCCAACTCACAAGTAGGGCTACAAACAGATCTGATGGAATTTGGGTAGGGGTATCTCTGAATCTGATCTGGTAAGATCTAAGAGATCCAAATTTGATCTGATATTCTTTGATGGATGTGTAAAAGATGGATTCAAATTTGAATCCAATTCAATTTGAAGCTTAGTGGATCTATGTATAACTAGCACGAATCTACAAAATTAAATACAACACAAGAAAATGTATATTGTAAATAAATAAAAATATGTTTTCCAAATCCCACTTAATCCTAAAGGACTTAAAATTAAAATTCTAGAAAGGGTATTTTATGTATAGTCAAATTGGACTGGATCAGATCAAGGAATATCCGGATTTGATCCAATTAATAAATGAGTCCTATTTTCAAACTTGATTTGATCTGATTATTGTTAAACAGATATCCAAATCCAAATTAAATGTATCGGGTTCGAATTCAAATTGGATCAAATCCATTCCATTTGCAACCCTACTCATAAGTAGGGGTGGTTATTTTCAGCTTGGCCCAGCCGACCAGGGCTGGCATTAGGTCCTATATTTCAGGCCCAGCCTGAGCATGTTTATATATGTTTTTATACATAATTTAAGCACATGTATATATGTTTTTTTTATAAGTAATAGAAGTTTTATTAAGACCGAAAGAGAATAAGAAAGATACACAGTAGAGGCTTCCCACAAAGAGGCACTAGATGCAGCATTGCAGCTTCAAAAAACTAAAAAACAAATTACAACTGAGTTCAAAATAACTGGTTCTTGTGCACCACTGCTTAGCTAAACAATCTGCCACCCCATTTGCCGATCTTCTTTTCCATTGAAACCTCACTATCTTTTTTTTTTATCGATAACAGAATTAAATTCATTTATTAAAAAATATTGAATGGTGCACAGCAGAAAAAGGAGAGATAAGCTCTCTTATCTCTCCCAAAAGAGAAAAAAGATTACAAACATGTCCAAAATAATTGATTTCTTCCCACCCCTTGTTATGCCAAAGAATCAGCAAAGGAATTAATATCTCTTTTCACCCATTGTAAGCTAATCTCCATTCCTTGTAGCAGCCTTCTAATTCTTCTTCTCTCGTGAATATATTCCCACCAACCCTCATCCCCTTCCTTTTGCAGCCATCTAATGACCAACTTTGAGTCTCCCTCAATTGCAAGCTTGCGTATATTCAGATCCTTTGCTTTCTGAATTCCTTCCATGACAGCTAGAATTTCATCTCTTAAAGCATCACCCATGACCCACCCCTACTGGACCAGAGAATGAAGCAATATTTTTTCCTTCCTCGTTTCTGAATACTCCTTCAATACTAGAAGGTCCTGGGTTACCTTCACTGCTGTCATCAAAATTCAGCTTTATGAAGCATCTTAAAGGTGGGGACAGACCTGTCCATAAGTTGCCTTGGGAGGAGCAGAATCAGCAATTTTCTTCCACTTCCTCATCAACTCACTTGCCAGAATGTCCTCAAACAGCTTCAATGTCTTCACCCAATGGACCACTTTGATGGATATGGCTTCTTTTATTGCCTCCCTACTCTATTCTATTGCCACAAATATTCTTTGATTTCTTTCTTCCCAGATAGTCCAACAAACAGTGGCCCTTTTACAATGCCATAGAATTCTACCCCTCTTCTTTGGCCATCTAACAAGAGTAGAGGAAACTAGGCTTTGAACAGTTGGCGGGGAGTAACATTTGYACCCAAACAAAGAGAGAAACCATATTCCCAAATTGAAGAAGCAGAAGAGCAAGATAGTAGTAAGTGATAGCAGGACCCACCATCAGCCTTGCAAAGAGGGCACCAGGATGGAGAAAGACACCAGCTAGTCTTTTTCTTTGCAACAAGT